AAATATTTGCATTACAACAGCTGCCACCCCCGCCACTGTAAAACTAGTATGCCGTATGGTCAGGCGCACAGCTTCTGACGGATATGTTCGGACGAGGGTGACTTTGCCGCCAATGTAACCTACCTTCGGGCGCCCTCCCTTGGAGCAAAATTATCTACCACCCGTCGTTGACAACGCAATCAAGAGAGCCAGGGCACTAGACCGCGATAAACTGCTAACTGGCACGCCGCCGGACCGAAGTGTGAATCTTAAAAATAAATTAGTCTTAAAGTATTCGAACAACTCGCCTAACATTAACTGCATTCTAAAATAACATTTTAATATTATCCAACAAAGCGAAAGGCTGAAAAATATAATTCCTTCCCCACCATGCGTTGTACTCAGGCGCCGTAGAAACCTAGGCGATGTGCTTGTGAGGGCCAGGACCACGCCGGTGGTGAGCATTGGGAGCCGACGATGCTTGAGTCCGCGATTTGAGGTTTGCCCAAACGTCTCCCCCATCCAGACAGCTAGGAGCACGGGATCAAACTTGACCTTCCGAATTCGGGGTGATCTACACTGCTCTACCGCCAACGTTGTATATTTACTGGAGTGTGGGGAATGTCAGGTGCAGTACGTCGGCCAAACGAAAAATCTCCATTCCGGATGAGGTTCAATAATCATAGCTCTTACACCGAAAAAAAGCCCACTCTGCCACTCTCCAAACACATAAAACTAAAAGACCGTTCATTTGAGAAGTTAACTGTCACGTTTTTAGAATCTGGATTTGGTTCGCATTGCCAGCGGGAACAGAAAGAATCATTCCTAAATCTTGAGTTCAACACCCTGCGAAGAAGGATTAACGAAGATCCCGGGATACCAACACCACTTCAAGTCATTGACATCTAAATCTAAAAGCGAACACAATAACTAAATTGGAGTCACATTTGCAGTTAAGAGTCGACGAGCAATTCCCACATTCCCACATTCCCAACAAAAATTCCCCAGTAACTTTTTTTCGCGTTGTTGTTGCCTTGCTTCCCCCCCCCCCCCCCCCTTTTTTTTTTTTTTTTACCCTTGGCTGTTCTATTGCTGGTTTGTTTGGTTCCTGCTTATACCGCCTTCAAAACCATTTCTTTTGTTTTTTCTTTATTTTTTTTTTTTTTTGGTAAGGGTTGGGGCGTTTTCGTATTTAGTGTGAAAAATGTGTCCTTCAAAACCTTTTTTTTTTTTTTTTAAAGGTGGCTGGATTCTCGTTTTTGGTGTGGGGAATGTGTCCTTCCCGTGTCTTTTCCGCCGCCCCGTACGCGGAGCGCCCCGGGGATTAGGGGTCAGGCCGTCTTCGTTGGAGGCGACGCTGGTTTTGCCTCTCGGCTAATTGGATAAGTGAACCAACCTTCATCCTCGCCTTTATTGCCTTTTTTTATGTATGTTTTTGTTGTTATTGTTTACTTTGCTGGACTACAGAAAAACCGTGCCGAGTTCCCTTAATCGTCATTCTGAAGAAGAGAGGCCTCCTCTCGAAGCGCCAATAAACCTTTCCTTGTTCTTGTTCAGTCCATGGATCTTTCTTATATATATGTATATATTGTTTTTGTTCTAAACAAAGCTAATTTATTTTATTTTCTTTTTTTTTTTGGGGGGGGGGGGGGTAGGAAGGGAGATGATTATGAGACAAAAAAATACAGGGTTGTAATATAGAAGTTTGTAAGGCCATTCCTGATAAACGTAGGCATGACTGTGACAGACAGGGTAGCGTATTGAAAGAAACTGCTTAAAGCCACTGCATCGCAAAGTACTTCGTGTCTAATCTTAAAATTCAAGGCTTGGAACCTAAAAATATACCAGGTTGGAATACCAAATAAACCAGGTTGGAAGAAGGTTTGAATTTATAAATAAACCGGAGTTCTTTTTCTTGAGATCCCATTGTCTGTTTCCATATATATTAAGTTACATTACAAGGTGCATAACGGGACACGGTGGTTCGTGCTATATGTGCCAAAAACTCGACGTTTGCAAGATAACGCCCCACCTTTTGAATGAGTATATCTACAATTACCGCGAAGTTTAAAACAAAATGGCGAAATCAATGCGATGTAGCCATATCTCACCGCCATAATTCTTTCCCTAAAACCGGGGTCACACTGCTTATACATCATACAAAAGAAAGTATGCGAACATATTTAAACGCGAATCACCACGATAATCGAGCTTCGAATGCCGCACGGCCAGGGCCGGCCTTACACCATCAAGCGCCCTCGGCAAACTCCGGCCGCGGCACCCCCCCCCCCCCCCCCCCCCCCTCCCCCGTCTTCTGAAACGCTCCTATCTACTAGGTACGCCATCACGTTGTTAATAAGCATGTGAGTAGTGATCCAACACAAGAATTTTGTCAGACGAAAACCGCATTACAAAAACTAACGGCGATGGAGCATATAGCGTCGTTTACGTTCAATATAGCGTCGTGTCGGGCGCCATGTTCAAATAAATTGAAAAGCTAAAAAAAAAAAAAAAAAACAGGGGGGCGCGGCGGCGCCCTCTTTTTGATGGCGCCTTGGGCGAGCGCCCAGGTCGCTCACCCCTAGGGCCGTCTCTGCGCACGGTAACGAGCTCAAGGTGACACTTGGCACGGGCATTTGAACCACGGATATCGTAGTGACTGATATCTGCAGACTGTCTTTTGAATACTGCATAAGCAGTGTGATGCCGGCTTAAAGGAACTTCTAGTAGAAGCAAACACCGCAATACGACCTGCAAAAATTGCGTATTAAATATTAAAAATGCTAAAAGGACATCACGGACTGCACTATATAGTATAAAACCTCGTGCTCAGGCTCAAAACGTTGCGTCAAACAACGTGCGAAGATTAAAAAAAAAAAAAAAAGTGAAGCATGATTATTTATAATTTTGGGAAATCCGTATTTTTTATGCACGGAGCTATTTTTTCTTCTGGAGTTTTATTCGCCCTAGAGATTGCAGTCAGATATATCAAAATGCACGCTTATAGCGCTAGCCGCCACATGTCCTGATGATATCTCAAATTAAATAAGCACCACAACTTGTCTATCTACTTCCCCAGAGCAGCTCTTCACCGTTCTACCACTAGACACAAAAATGTGTAATTAGAAATTGTAGTAACTGGACGTAGCAATACTTTTTCTTTGACTCTTTTCCCTCGCGCCATGCTGTCGATGCCTGGGTTTGAAATCGCAGACATAACTATACCTGAGACACCGGAAGAAGGAAAGGGAGGACCCGAAAAAGAGGACGACATACACAACGTCTCGAACACAGCTGAAGGTTTGTTCTAAAACCACATCCTTTTACAGGGGTACATCGCATGCGATGCGATGCAAGGTCAACCAATTACGGACTAACACATAAAAAAAAATATTACATTTGTAAAAAAGGTTGTACCTGCGTCTTGTCATTCACCATTGACGGGACTCTTACACAATTTCCGGCAGAACCAATACCGAGCGTTTCTTTTCCTACACGCTTCAACCGATCGCGCTCTCGGCTTATCACCGTGGTCGCCGTCCAATCCGGATGACTGTTGTTGCAAACTTGCAAATGTTTTACAATTTCTGAATTTGGGGACTTCAGGAGAACACACCTTTTGTGCTCCATGAATTGCTCATTAACACAACGGCCAGTTTGACCTGTGTATGAAAACCCAGAGGCCAGGGGAATATTAGAAACATTATAAGCCTACATTGTAATTTATAAGTAACATCGTGTCCCTGCGAAACCATGCTGCGCGTTTGATTTTTTCTGGCGTTGAGAATAGAGAAGTTTTTGCGAATTAAGTGAGTTCCTTCAGAAAAACAGGGGGGGGGGGGGGGGGGGGGGGGGGGTGTACAGGGAAATCACTTGTACCACGCGCCTGCCGCAGGTCCTTCACCTGTTGATTAATAAAGCTTGGACTTGGGTTTGGGCTAGTTGGTTGTACATTGATAGACGTGAAAAGGAGCGAACGCTATGAAATAATGATAAATGTCTTCATGAAGATGTGTGGAAAAACACCACAAAAGTCGAAAGTCCACACATCTTCATGAAGACATTTATCATTATTTCATAGCGTTCGCTCCTTTTCAAACTCACGCATTGGGAAACTCATGCATTGGAAAAAGAAAAGAATAAACAGTTGTTAGACTGCGCCCATTTGTGTTCGTTGTGTTTCTCCTCATCTCAATGTAAACTCATCCTTTTCATTTTCAATTTTTTAGTCACGCGTTTGTTCTGTAGAACTTCGCAGCGCAGCACGTCTATCACCTGTTGATCCACGTGCTTCTTCCCCGCTCCTTCCCGCGGAGAGACGCAGCCTCCTTCTCTTTTTCCGATTACGCCCTCTGGCAGTACGCATGAATGGGACGGCCGGAGAAGCGTTCGCGGGCTTCTGATCTCGGAAGCCATTCCCTCACTATTGTTTGTTTGTTTGTTTATTTTTGGGTTGACAGGAAAGTTGCCTCGCCTCACTAGAGCCAGACTAGAGCCACGGCTCGAGTGGCCGTGCTAGAGCGCACGGAGTTCATAGCTAGAGCGCTTCCCGTTTCCACCGGGAGAGGGCAAGCAACGCGCTGGAGACGCAAGCATTTTGACTCCCCCCTCCCCTCCCCCCTTGAAAAAAATTACTGGCTACACCACTGGTCCGGGCCGCCTTCATGATTGTAACTATGGAGCCCTAGCACGGCCTGCTGGTACCGCGGCTACCCGTACAAGCCACTACTGATGCCATCGGCGAAGTAATGTACGAATCCAAAATTCCCGCCTCTCTCTTATCTTGCTCTGCTTAGTGCCGCCATCTATGTGCAAAACCACTAAACGTGTCTTTTTTTTTTAATATTCGGCTTATAATTATTGCTAGGTAATATTAAAGTCTAGATTATTCGTTATTATAAAATATAAAAAAGTTAATTTGTCGCGTATCGGTATATCTTTTATATATCTGTGCCACCTATTGATCAACTTTCCAACTTCTGGAAAAAAACACAGGGCACCGCCATCTTGTAAAAACGAGCGGAAAAGTCGGGGGAGAGTCGAGAGCCGTCGAGCCCCTTGGAGGTTATCAGTGGCAGGCCAATCAGCGAAGCCGTTCGCGAACACACCTCCCGCATCAGCTCGGCTTATGTTACGAAAACGAAATATCCCGTTGACGTCGGCTACACGTGACGTCTTACATCAGTTGTTTTCATTTTTTTTCGTCACCGCCGAGTAGTCGAAGGCAGTCGTCTCTTCACGTCTTCGACGAGTGTGTGTCCACCGGCTTGCGTTCGTTGGGTCCGCCGAATGCTAGTCGGTTACTTCTCTCCTTGTTTTCTGTGACGACTAACCTGTCACCGAAGAAACCATGAGGATCACATTTCGTCTCCTCCAAGACATCGGCAAGATGCTGGACCGCTATTCGAGCTTCAGTCCCTCGCCGCTGTCCATAAAGCAATTCATCGATTTTGGTAAGTATGCCTGCCGTGTTCTAGGCACTTCTAGGTCTCTATGCTTCGCTGAGCTCAACGAAAGCGGAGCGCTCGATGATCACCCGTGTTAGGTCGCGTTACGTGAAAAAAACGGTTTGGGTGAGCTCGCTTTCCAACCGCGTTGAAGCGGGTGAACCTTCGTTGTCCGAGACCTGGCGCGATGCCGTTGTGTTGTTTTTAGTTGCCTGACGGGTGGCTTGCGGTAATTGCGGCCCGTTATGTTATTTTGAGGGGGCGATTTTCTCAATGTGGAGCAAGCAGAGTGAGCGTATGGAATGGAGGCTGACGCAACATGTAATGGGCCCTTGAGAAAAGAGGTTAGACCAGCGTGCGAACTGTCTTGCCGTCCCAGAACTCAAAAACAAATCGTACTTCTACCCTTTCCACCGGCGTAAGACAGGAGGAAGTGGGGAAAGGGGGCTTTTTACCGGCGGAAGACAGGAAAGGGGAGGAGGAGGAGGAATGGGTGTGCAATATTTCAGAACAACGATTACAATAGAGAAATTGGAGAGGGCGACTAGCGCAGAGGAGAAGTAATAGGAGTCATATAATCAGACTTTCTCGAACTTCCGATTTAATTTTTAATTTTTCTCGTTGTGCATACCTCCAAGTCTGAATGTGTACTGTGGCTGTGTTCGTTTGACTTCGTTTTGTTGTGTTCATCTGTTTGTGATATCGTTTCTCTTGATTGGTTGCTGGATACAGAGTAAACCTTCTCCCCTCACCACATAACAAACTAATATTATGTTATTTACACTGCTGCGAACGCCAGGACGCGTAACTGCGCACGCGCGCGCTGCTCCAGCTTTTCACATATCTTACCTTCTTGTGAGCTGTCCAGTTTTGTATGAGAGGCATACCATATTGATTTACAATTTATTTGTTTGCTACAGATAGCGGTCACCTACATGCTTGTAATATGTCCACCTTTTCGACAGAACCCCCCCCCCCCCCCTCTCCCTTCCCTCCCTCGTAGCCAAATGGTCTTGCAGCACCTGCGTGGCAGCCTCTCCATGTCCTCCTGGATCCACTTCTTTTTGGGAGTGCCTCACAGCTATGCCTGGGCAGCTGCCTCCAGCTTATTAATGACAACCAAATGACATCCTTGCAGGGTTTTGTTTTCGTTGCATTCAGCAGGTGATGGCCACTAAGGGCCCGGTCAGGCCATACCCATGCATGACCAAGCGTCTGACTGGTCTTGCGACGTTCCAAAAAGACCTCCGAACCTGATCAGACGCCAGCCAATTGCGGCCTCACATGAATGCACGTGGCACGGTGATCGATCGGCGCCTGATTGGGTTCAGCCAACTTTCTGACAAGTCGTTCGACCAGTCAGACGTTTGGTTTCACATGGGTATGGCCTGGCCGGGCCTTCAGTTGTCATTATTGGTTGGGTGGCACAAATAAACCCTTGTGAGGACGCCATTTCGCGGTCACTGATAAGCTGGGAGCACCAGGCCATGGAGTGTCTGCCAGAAAAGTGGTACAAGGTAGGTGTGGGTGTCGATTAAAAATTTTAACCCAATTAATCACCGCCCTCCAGTCAATTCATTAATTGGTTTTCTTTGTTCCCATGCATAATAGTTTTAAAAAAGTCAAAATTACATTTTTCGCCTTTGCTGAATTAGTGATACATGTCATGATGTGCAATTTCGGATATCAAATCAACCTCAATGTGTAGTTGAGAACAGTCAAAAGACACCCACACTAACAAACTATTACCTCAACTGCAGAGGCAAAGGGGTTTGTTGATATTCTCCGACAATAGCAAACGCTTTTGATTGTTCACAGTAGTCTCTGCTGCGCTAAACGGATTCTCGCACGGTATTGAAAGTATAATTTTTTACTTCTTTTGTTTGGCAAAATTTTGCTGATTAACCAGCTAAAAAATTAATTGCAGTTAAAGAATTAAAATCGATCAAGTGCCCAGCCCTAGCAAGAGCATTAGGGTACAGACCTTAGGTTAAGGACACAAGTACAGACCTCTAAGTGACCTACATTCGCAGAAAATAAATAAATTGTAAATCAATATAGTATGCCCCTTGTACATACTGGAAGCTCTCATACACTGGTACTTTAAATGACAGCTTGTCATCTTACATGAAGCGACTTTAAAAATCTGGCTCGTGCAAGCACAGAGCCTTTGGTTTCTCACAATTACAATTTCTCGTCTTAGACGACTAGTGGCTCAGCATCCTATGATAGAGCTTTAAGTTTGTGCTGCTTGATTAAGTTTGGGGTGGCATAAAAACTGGTACTTTTGATTGTCCTAATAATTCTGGATAATCACTAAAAAGTCTAATTGGCCTGCCTCATCTCACACATAATTACAATTTGGGTGGCCAGAAATGCTTATATGTTAAATGATGTAGGGACCTTTACTGAACTGACTCTCTGTCTACTGCTCTTGTTCACCATACATTTATCACCTTCAGATGCGGAAGTTAGAAAGAGCTCATGTTGAGGACGCTGTCTGATCTGTTTCATATTTCTCATGTGTTATGAGAGAGCTAGCCCAGGCTGCCAACTGTAATGAAATTGCAGACTACAGTCAAATAACTTGTGACGCCTCGTTCCATGCCAGAAACTGTGTTAATCTATGGCGGCAGTCCTTTCTTGGGTCCACCAAAAGTCTTCTGTTTCTTGTTTGATTTCTGTTGGCCACGGTTTGACAGCATTTGCTGATACTGTTTCATATTTTTTTTCTTATGTTTGTAGACTAAGAAAATAGAGAGCCAACTAGAAATTTAGTCTTTCTCCCCTATAAAACGGTTCCTCGCTGAATTAGCCTTATATATATCTATATATATATATATATATATCAGGTGATTTGTTGGTGCAGACTGCACGTTTTGCTTATTATGCACCTCTATATGCTGAATCAGTTAAGGAAATTTAAGACTTGAAGAATTTCTTGTTGGAATGAAGGCTGAATAGGCATGTGCAGTTTTAACAACAACATTCCTTCAGTCTATCTTGGTGTTGTAAGTTGGAAGGGGTGCACGTGTTATTATAAGTTGAATGTAGTGGCATAAGAAGTGCAATTGGCAATGTGCAGCATTTTTAGCAACAGCACCTCACCCCTTTACTTTGTCTTCATAAGCTAAATGGGCTGAAGAAGTTATTGTAAATTAAAGAGGCTTTACTTGTATATGTAATTGTTCCTTCATGTACCCTCCTCTTTTTGAGGTCCATATTGGTTTCATCAGCCCAACTTCTGGCCCTGTTATGAGGAATTGACAGTGCTACTAATTACCATTGGGCGCTTCAGAAAATTACTTTTCTTGAAACAGAATTTACTCTTCTGTCTGGGTTCCTGAAGACATTACTGCTACATCATAAGAAAAAAAAGAGAGGCCTTACTAATGACAAATGTATGATAATAATTGTCCAAGGCTTCAGAGCGCAAAAGGTTCCTGGGTCTAACTTTTTTCAGTCATGACTTCTCTCTATCCCTTATTTGTAAAATATACCATTCATGTATTCCTTTTTGAAGTCCTGGTAATTTTCCGGTAGCTTTACGTCTTTTCTATAAAATAGGTTCCACTTTCATTTCCTTTTTTATTAATTCGTATTTAAAGGGGTACTGCAACGAAATTTTATATCGCCTATTTCATTGCCTTTATGCCAACCACGGTCTGGCCGAACCAAAGGGAAACACATGTTTTGCTCAAAAATGCAGCAAAGCTTTATTTGAAACGAATAAACCGAATGTCGTTACGTCAGACTCCTCATAAAAGCAGCGTCGCTCCGCGGAAGTACGATGGCAAGCTGCGTTCGCACAATCCCTGTCGACTTGGTCGAACCGGATTTCCCTCCTCTGGGGCGGGCATCCCGAACGGCCAGGTTGTAGCGCGTTGACGCCACCGAGTGGCGAAGCTCCACAACCACGCCAGCGTCCCTTTTTTTCGTTTCGGTTCAAACGAAAAATATAGCCATTTGTTCAAAATAGAAACATGCGTTTGAAATGAGCAGATTTCGTTGATAATAATTAACTAATCTGTGAACGTGAGAGGTATATTTTCATTTCAGGGTATCCCTTTAAAAGATATACGTACTCTACCCACAATTCAGTGTCCCAGTCTGTGGAACAAGAACTAATGCTATATGCCGAGTGAATTCAAGAAATGTTTAGCCGTCTCAGTGTGTTGTTTGACGTCTAGATTTCTGCGCGTGTGTTGGTTTGGGTCACAGCAGGATAGGTACTTGGCACTGATCTGAACATGCATTGACACAGTCGGGTTAGTTTCAAAATTGAGTTCGTTTCAATTTCGTATTTTCTCAGCCGCACCCGGATGCCAGCTATCTTTTTTATATGACAGCTACCATGCAGTGTGTAATGTCTCTCAATTATAACTTTAGAATATAAAAAATACATTACTGGGAAATTCTTGGCCTGTATAGTCCATAACAGATTATTAGCAATACTCTTTACTCTCATTGATTCAAAAGGAAAAGTTGCGGTAGCGGGCGGAAGTGTCCGCTAGCACTGAATGTGGATAGAAAATAATTACTAAACTGTAACTATTCAGCAAATCGTTACTGAATAGCTTTCACCGTTACTTGCGTACCTTTCGCAAAACAGTGTATAGACGTATCAAGGTCAGCATTCCGCATTGCCCTCCTGATGTATGAGCCAGCCTTGTATTGCATTATTCATCAGGTTTAATTGGCTGTGACATTTCATTGTGTTGACCTACTCCTCATGTGTGGTCGGTGTACCAGAAGACTGGTTACTCAGTCTTCCTCCTGTACGTTGTTGGGTAGCAACGACCTGAGCCGGCTGCTAAGCACTACTAAGAATAGTCGAACTAAGCACAGGGCAAGAGTCCATCTATACCATCAGTATCCATCATGCTTAGTAGGCATTTTGCCAAGTGGGACTTAGGTGCACAGACCCTTTCCAAGAGTCCACCAGGCAACATTGATTATCGCCATTTCTCGGGCACGAAGCTTGCGATTGGATCCGAATCCTTGCC